GGCAGAGGCTGCGCCCGCAGCCGCGGAGCGATCGGCGCGGAGCGTCCCGGCAGCCGAGGCGCTCCCCAGGGCCGGGGGGGCCCCAAGTCCTCTTCCTCAGTCTGAACCGTCATCTTCGTTCTTTTAGCTCCGTCGATGTCATCTTAATTCTTTTAGATAGGCAGGAATCCTGCCGGGGCGTCTTTTCACCTCGTTCAGAGAGTTGTGAAGTTTCTTCTCTCACGTTACTGCGCGGGGTAGGGGCTGCAGGGAGTGCGGAGATTTACTTGGAATAGCATCGACGTTCCCTTTTTAAAATTAGAGCTCCTCTTTTTAAAATAGGATTCAACAACACTGGTTTCAATGGTCATCGTGGTACATTTTTTTTTTTTTTTTACTTTAGCGCAAGCCTTCCTCTTATTCCCCGACTGGAATGGAGATTTCTTCCCATCAGTTTCACCTCCTCGAGCAGCTGAACGAACAACGGAAGCAAGACTTGTTCTGTGACTGCAACATCCTGGTCGAGGGAAAGGTCTTTAAAGCACATCGCAATGTGCTGTTTGCCAGCAGCGGCTACTTCAAAATGCTCCTTTCGCAGAGCTCGAAGGAGACGAGCCAGCCAACAATAGCCACTTTTGAAGTTTTCTCTCCAGAGACTTTTATGGTTATCTTGGACTTTGTGTATTCAGGGAAACTCTCTCTCACTGGTCAGAATGTGATCGAAGTCATGTCAGCTGCGAGCTACCTGCAGATGACTGATATCCTCAATGTCTGCAAGACATTCATTAAGTCCTCACTGGATATTAGCGAAAAGGAAAAGGATCATTACCTCAGCCTGTCGGCCAAAAGCACAAACAGTGAACCCACCCATCCATCTCTTTATCGGTCAAGAAGAAAAGCAAAGAGCAACCCCAGGCGTTCCTGTTCGATCCCGGATGACAAGGCTAATACAGTGAATGAAAATTCCTGGAGCAGTTACGGCAGCTACCTGTCCTCAGAGGTGATTCTTCAGCGGGCAGAAACGCAGCTATCGAAAAGAGGCAGAAAACAGGGCTCAATGAGAAAGCGCCGAAAGCACCTCGGGCTGGCCCAGACCCGTGATTTTGTGCAGTATAAATCCAACAAAGCTGAGCGGGCCAGCGGCGGTTGCAGCACGGCAGATTCCAGCCACGTGTCTCGGGTTAGGGAGGAGGCTGAATGCGATGCTGAGAACGCCGCCGATCGCGACGATTACGGATATAATCACGAATCGGAAGTGATGCCGAAGAGGTGGTCTGTTGCTCAGCTAGAACAAGAGCTTTCAAGAACTCCCGAGTTCGTGGAATTAAAGGCAGAAGAACTGTACACCTCAATGCCCACAATTTTAGGTGTAATGAGTAGTTGGAACGAAGGTAAAAAGTACATATGGGTTTGCAAAGTTTGTCTTTATTTGGAAGAATTCAGATGATCTTTTGGAGAGAATTTGTATGGCTGCATGAAAGCAAAATGATGCCCAGAGTTGCAGATTATTTTCTTGATCCACTCAATTGTTAGAATCTGTTAGATCTACTCTGTTAGAATGAGAGACTTTGAAACCAGAACAGGCCATAAGAATTAGAATCAGAGAGCTTGCCTCAGGTATTCTGTAAAGTTAAAACATGCCAGATTATTTGGACCCGAGTTTAATGAAGCCTCGAGAACTGTCATTGACTTGGGGACCTGAAGGACTGAATTTCTCTTGTAATATCCCCAATACATGGCAGTAATAGAGGCATTCGGCCTAAACCCAACCCAAGTCCTTCACAAGAGAAGGTCCTTTCATTGGCAGGATGCTGCATTTCCCTGAAGGTCCAAACCAGCCTAAATTTCATGACTGTTCAGCCACACTACAGCATCTAAACTCTCGATGGACTGACAGCATGTACCCGAGATGGTGGACTAAAGGTTACAGGTGTATTCTTACGGCGTGCGTTCCCTTGGAAACTCATGTACCTGTATTTTATTATAATTGCCTATTTTTAATAGTTTGGGCATCCTAGTATATTACACAGAGATTAGAAATGACAAAGCTATGAACTGTTAGCTGATGGAAGAGTCAGATATGATGACTATATGTAATAGCTAAGTATTTATGATTATCTGTATGTCTAAAAAATACCCTGAGTAAGAAAGAATACACAATCCAATGGCTGTTTAACACGTTCAGTAAGAAATACTGGGTTTGGTGGATCCTATTTTGCAATTTTTTTTTCCTATTTAGTCACAGACCAGATGAAAAATGAACTGCTGCTTATTTAAGCTGAAAAATAATCAAACTACTACATAAAGAGAGACTACTGCTATTTGACATTTCCCCCTGTATTTCTCTGTAATACAGATGACCTACCTCGGATGCGATTCAAATGCCCGTTCTGTACGCACACAGTGAAGCGACGCGCGGACCTGAAGCGGCATCTGCGGTGTCACACAGGGGAGCGACCGTACCCGTGCGAAGCCTGTGGGAAGAGGTTCACCCGACTAGAGCATCTACGGAACCACTTCCAAACGGTACGCGATTTCAGTGGGAGATTCAGCCTAGAAAAAAAAAACAAAACACAAACCAACCCACAGGATGTCACACTGGTAGCATCTACTCAGTCATTTCCAGAACTAACAGCAGAAAAGCTTCCTAGCTGCACATCAACTTTAATTATTCATGCTCTAAATTGGCAAATTATACTTCAGATTTCATTTTTTTTAGAATGGTTCAGTGAATTTTCTTTTTCTGAAAAAAAAAAAAAATTAAATCTGCTTTTGGATGAACACTGACATTTTCAAATTTTAAATCTCTTTAGATACATCAAGCTGGCAAACTGATCTGCAGAAAATGCAAGCGTCACGTAACTGAACTAACAGGATGTGTTGTTCAGCAAGGAACAAGACGCTACAGACTGTGCCATAAGTGTCTGGCAGAAACTAATTTTGACAGCATCCCTGACGATTTAGATGCAGAACATTCTCCTGTCTCCTCCACGGGAAACAAACGTTCGAAGTGGGCTTTGGAGGAGGAACAGAAATCAGATGAAGAGACGGTGGAGGAGGAACCGTATAATTTGGTTGTCCGACACGTTAACGATGATACTCCAGCTGAGGTAGATGAAAAGGTGAAGCCAAATCTTAGGTAGATCTGTTACTGTTGTATTCAAGATTAAATTACTTGTGTCCTACCAACTATTGCTGGCTTATTACTTTCATTTCAATTAAATCTTGCTAAAATTCTTTTCTGAGAAGCCAAATAGGGGCTATATGTTTTGTACTTAAGAGACATGCAACAGCTTCTAAATGTCATCCAGAAAGTGGGTGTTATCTGGAAACTATTTAGAAGAATTTGTTTATATTTCCTCAAAGACTTGCTCAGAGCTCCTGTTCATAATGAAAGAGTGAACCACTTTACAGTTCTACAAAGATTCAATATTATATAGGGTTTTAAAAAACAATTATTTGGTTATTAAAAATTACATTATTAAAAAACAATTATCACTGAACAAGAAACATAAAACACATTTTTGTTGACACTGTAATTAACGTGTATATACACATCAGAAACTTCATGAGAAAGGAGTAAAGAAACCAAGTGGAATTCTTCCTGCTGAAGAACCTATCTATGGGAACTTTGTTTTCTGAGTGAGCTTACTGCTTCTATTTGTTCAGAAAAGCACGATCAGTTTTAAAGAATACGCACAGAATACGTACAGAGTAGAATAATGAACAGAGCGTCTGTAGTGCACTTGGGACAGTATGAGTTTGCCTTTTCAGATACGTAGTGGTTTTGTACTCTGAATTTTAAAGAAAGATACACTAACATGGTTCCAAGGAAATAAAAGTGCAATCACTGAAAGTACAATTGTCAGGTTTTTTTCCTTTTTTTTTTTTTTTTTTTTTTTTTTTTTATTTGGTTAAACTCCTGTCTGTCTTATGCAAGAGAATAAAGAGGACAAGTGCCTTTAATTTCAGTGGCACACTTGTGACTTAGATCATGGAGCTACTTTAGAAAGATCTTCCTTTTCCTATAAATTCAGGATGCTTAACAGCTGCTTGACAGCATAAAAATGTTTGTTTACAAGGACAATTTCCCTTAAGAGTTTAAGCAACTTCTGTAATTCTGGAGTGTCTTCAACTTAGTAATCATATTTTTTTTTCCCAGTCATTTGGGTCAGAGAACCTCCACTTGCTAGAGAAACTGAAAACGCTCAGTACTAACAAAAAAAAAAAAATTCTCAGGGAGAATGTACATTCTGCCTGAGAGCAGAGAATGGCATTCCTAGTAGGTACTCTTGATAAAGAGCCACTGTTTGGTCTCATGTCTCGTTTTATGCTGTATTTCCTTTCCTGTTAGCAGAATCTGTAGCCTGAGGTTACGGCCAAGCAAGCAAAAATTCCCTGTAGAGAATTTGAGAACAACCATATTGATTCACATCAAGGTTCTCCCTGTCTCCAGCAGTTGCCACTACAGATACCTAGGGAAAAGTGAGAACAAGGCAAGCCTGTACAGTAATTCCCTAATGCTCTCCCAAACTCCAGCCATTTTCAGCTTAGGACATTTTCTTCATTTGGGATTTATACATTTAGTAACCACCAATGCACATCTTCTTGAAAAAGATGTGCTTCTACTTCACCACTCTACCCTTAAACTCATCGCATCAACCCGATCCCACGGAGATGCGCATGAATTCCCTACAGAACCTGCTCAACTAACAACAAGACAAGAAGGGTTTCCAGTTCAAGCATGTTTTTTAATTAACCACTTTCAGGGAGTTAATTGTCTCAGTAGTCTCTCACTGAGCTGGGGCCTACAGCCAGCCATGGGGCTCCTGTAAGGCACTGGGAGAACAGGACTTCCAGTAAAAACACTGCTAGCTGAGACCTGTCACTCACACAGCTGTGAAAATGGAACAAGGTGAATTTAAGGCATGTTTTATAGTAAGTACTTAATAAATATTGGGAAAAAAAAACCATTACTAACACTTGGTTAATTCCAAATGCTTTTCTAGCAAGTTCCTGTCACTATTTCTAAAAGCAGAGCACTTGACTGTGTTGCTACAGCCTGTGACTGACACAGGACACCTCAGCACTTCGACAAAGTTAGAATTTAACGACATAAATTTCTCTCCTCCCGTTTTAGAGGGCCGGGCAAACGGAAAGGCCTCTCCCGCCGCCACCCTTCACACCTGGCGCCAGCCGCCTCGTGGGGCTCTGTGGGGAGAACAAAGCTGCCTCAACTTGATGCCTGATTGGCTAATTCCAGTCACCTGACCCAGCCAGCCAATGAGGTGTTGAATCCGCAGCTGAGGGGCCGCCCGCCCGGCCCTCACCTCCCGCTGGTACCCGGAGGAGCCGCAGTCCCGGGCCCGGGCCTCGCTCTTCCCCTGCAGCACTTGGCTGTGTCCGGCCGGAGCGAGCGTGTGCTGGAGCCTGGGGCTGCTCCTGAGGATGGAAGAAACCCCAGCGCGTGAAAATCATTGGTTTTGTACGATCAAATAGGCTTATCATCATTCTTATTTACAAAAAAGTCCGCTCACCTTAGCAGAGAACAAAGCGCAAATGTAAAAATTCCACTGGCCAAAATTATTCACATGCAAATGCGTTAATTCTTTCAAGTCCAAGTTTTATTTCAGCATTGAAGCCTGCGCTGAGAGGGATTTTATCCCTCAATCTTTACAATATGGAAATAAAACCAGATCTGGTTGACTTTACAATAAAATGAGAGTCTACCTCTGGAGGTGAGGCACTTGTAGCATTTACAATTAAAAAAGCAGCTTAGGCCAGTGCTGACCGTTCCTTACAGTGTCCCTCTCACATGGCACATAACACATTTGCTGTCCTGTGATTTAAAACAAAACACACTTTTGATTACTTCTGATTAATTTGATTCAGTGAACTGAAGTCAGTGATCCTTTGATATGAAAGGATTGTCTGTATTGTCCTTTCTAACAGGAGATAGGGAAGCTGATTCAAATAATCTTTTTCTAGAAGAGAACTAGCTTTTGCCAGACACAGTTGGGCCTGCAGAGAGTCTGATGTGTCCCCTTCCACCACCGCAGCAAAGCTGCCTAATTCTGCGAGTGTAATAGGTGCTGTTAGGATTCCAACTACGCGGTTCCATACTTCAGGATTTAATGTGGAGATTTATTTACAGCAGTTCAGCACCACCTGCTGGCATGACTTTTTTTTTTTTTTCCCCTCTTTAAAAGTCTAGGTGTGCTGGTTGTTTTTAATTGATATACTTTCCTAGGTGTCCTTTGAACAGTCAGAATTTTTTCTACATTAAATACAACCCGCTGCAGGTATTTTGGACCTTTTATATAAGATAGAGGAGGAATGTCACTTCAAAATTAGGACACTTAAATCTCCAAATGAAATCACGTAGATCACCATTATCTCCTGCCACCCTACAAAGAGATAGTATTTTAGCTAGCAGCTCCACTCATTTATCTATTTAGCTCGTACAGCACCTAACACATGTATCACCCTTAACAGCTGACTCCCAGCATTCCTGGAGAGACTTTCAACCCCTACAACCCTTTCTCCTCAACAGCTAGTTCTTTTTTCTTGGCATGCAGGTATTTCTCTGTCTCACCATCTTCAAGTCAAAACAGAGGCTGACATTCCTCACAATTATTCCCTTCAATTTATGACTTGAATTGGCCAATTCCTTAGTTACTTCCACAGGGATTATGGTTTTCAAGGGACTTTTGCCAGCCGATGACACGTATCCACTTGACCACACTTTTCTTGCTTTAAATATCAATGATGACAAAGACTTCTGGCTTTTCCTCTTCACAGATCTGCATTGCTGAGTAAGTTATGGCTTTGACCTCTGTGCCCTAAAGAGAAAAGACACAAAAGCATGGACTCTCTAAATTACATCCCTTGCACCAATTTATGGTAATACACAGCACTTAGCACCTTCTACAAATGCTATCCCCCAAAAGCTGCATTTGTTACACAGGACTCATCACCTTCTACAAATGCTATCCAGTTTAATAGTTTTTCTCCCCCAAAAGCTGCAACTGTATTTGTTCTGCTGAATAAGAAACGTGACATATTAATGGCAAGGACTTGGCCTGGCCAAGTAGTGAATAACTAATTCTTCCCTTATTTTATTGCCTCTCGAATAGTACAAATTCCTCCTCTTAGCTCTGACAGAACATAAACATTTGCTATGCTAATACTGACACAGCTAAAGAGCTGGTGGAGAGATAAGGATTTGCTTCTAGCAATCCTTTAGCAAAAAAAAAAAAAAAAAAAGGTGATAATACTGTGAAACCCAAACCCACATACACATCCCGAATATAGATTGGTTTAATGAGTTATCAGCACCACAAAAAGGAAGCCAACTGTTTTGCTAGTGCTGAGGAAGCATCAGATGGTCAGGTCAACAGTTTCGGGAATGCATTCACCAAAAAAAAGCAAAAAGTGATACCAGACATGTTTATACTTGGATCTCTTGAGAACTTTATTAAAGACATCACACCTGCCCATCCTACCCCTAAAATGTAAAAGATGTACAGAAGAACCATTGCATACCTGAGGGTGTTTGGGTAAAGAAAACTCTTCTCCCCACCTTTAGAGGCAAAAAGAAGAGAGGTGGTTAGAATTTTGGTAATATTTCCTAAATATTATGATAAAATGTGATTTACATTTAAAGCCCCAAAGGAAGAAAATAAGAAGCCCACAATCCACTTCACAGAAAGCATCGGTGAACTCCAGCACATCACAGTATTTCAGACTGATTGCTCTGAAGGCAGTATGTGCATTTTCCGTGAAGATATTCATTACTCAGTTGATCATTTAAGCTCACCCAATTGATCTTATTTTGAACTGCATTCGGTCAATGTAAAGCACTTTCACCTCCTGCAGAAAAAGCAAGAGGAGAAATATGTCAGTAACATCTTCTATCTTCAGGCAGAAATTCTCAGTAAATCCCATTTACAAGACTTATATTCCACCGTTTAGATGGAATCGGAGAGAATCGGAGCATCCTGAAAGAGATACCCTGCTACTTGGAACGGAAGGCAGCAGAGCTGCCCCTACCACGTACCAACAGATAATAATTGGTTTTGGTAACAAAGCTTGACAATCTGTTTCTCAAGACTTTCTGCCCTGCTCTTTTCAATTCTCCATGTGTAGTGCTGAAGTGATCTGTTCTGCCCATTTTTTTCCCTAAGTATCACTGCATTCAGAGCTAATTTTATCAGAGAATAGCCCTGACTTACAAATGGAGAAAGATCAAAACAGAACACTTACCCTGGGTATAAAGAACTCATTAGCACTGAATTTATACAGCCACTCATCCAAGAAGTGGAAGAGAAGAGACAACATGTCATGTCCTGCATGGATGAAGCAGAGACGATAGTCAGTGGATTGTCTCAGCAAGAACACCCAAATGTTTTTAAGAATACGTCAGATGTACAGCTTCTGCACTATTAGAAGATTCAGATTAGTGATACTGAATTAGATTTTAATTAACTGCAACACTACGTGTCAAGATTCAGAATTTTGGTACCCTTCTCCCTCAGGGTTCATACAGTTCCAATATAAAAACTCAACGCAGCTTTACCTTCTGCCTCTACCTCTACTGTATCAACAGGTTCCACGGTCTCTGTATCGGTCATGTAGCCAAACATGGCCATGACGCACTGCTCAAATGCTTCTTCCAAAGTGTCTCCCCAGGCATGTAGCCTAAAAAGATATGAGATAATTCACCAGACCATCACAAAACAAAAAGTCCCAAAATACTATGCAGGTGAGCAATCAGAACACGAGAATCAATGCAGGGGAAGTGAATGAACAAGACGACTAGCTCTTCTACACCTATGCATTTGGGCAGATCAGAGAGATTTTCATTCTTGAGGTTTGTGAGAAGAGTTTCTTGGGAGAATACGGAAATTCAATGTTTTACCAGACAACAAGGAAGTTCTTTCCTAATATGGCTAACTGATGTCTATAAAAAAATGGACTAATCAGAAAAAATTTGGTTTAAGGGGAAAGAGGTTAAAAGAGGAGATTTCAAAACATATTTCCAAATAACAGAGGCGTAATGAGAAGCACGATAGGAATATTACAGTAGAAAAGAAACCAAACATGTGGTCCTATGCTCTCCCAAGAGCAGAAACAAAGTAGACCATCAAAAAATCCCATTGTGTGACATTTCATAGTTCCATAATGTGTACATCTACAACGAGTCTTTGACAGTTACTCCAGATTTATAGCAGTGTAAGAAATAATCAATCTGTCATACTGAGAAATCCCAGCTGCCCATACTTACTGCACATCTGCTGTGTGATCCAAATCTGAGAAGGAAAAAGAAAAGACATGACATCACCAAACATATTTTAAAAATCTGGATTTAAAAAAAAAGAAAATCAGATATTGTTGTTATAACAAGAACTTTTCGCCTTCATTTTCAGATGTGAACCGGTGATAATCTATTTTCTAGCATATTAGAAAAAGTTAGCACAGGTGGAATCTTGGATTATTTCTGCCAAGTGGAAAACCAGTGTTTAATGTAATTATATCAGTGCCTTACGTGTACACTACTCTGTGCAAGGTATGGCTGTTGTAACACAACAGGCTTCTACAAGTTAACTGCAATAAAAAGACACTTCAACCAGGAGTAAAGAATTTTTGCTGAAGTCTGCAGGACTGAAAACCATTCATGCTGAGGATGAGATCTGCAAATATTTCCAGCTCAGTGAAGAAATATACCTGTCCACACCCAAAAATATCCATTATGCAAAAAGGATAACTAAAAAAAAAGTAATACAAAATAGAAGGCAATCTTCATTAATAAGGTGGGATTAACATCCCAAGCATGTATCAAGTTTTACATGAACGTCATTTATATTCATTCAGAGGAATGAGAGAAATGCAAAATTATATCAGGTTGGCAGAAACGAAGCTAACCTGGGATGTAAAATAAACGCCACACCACGATTGCTCTAACTGAAAGACTGTTCTGATGCTGTTTAGATCGTTCGCCCACTATTAATGGATTCTCAACAACAGTCTCTAAAGCAAACAAATTCCAGTGGGTGTAAAAGAATAAAACCTCTTCCAGTTATGGAAAGAGCGTGACTATTGTAATATGTCACCATATTTCTGCACTGCTATCAAATAAAGATCTGAACACATCCTAAAAATATATATATTCAAAGAGAGTAATAGACACTGTCCTACAGACAGGCACGGCTGAAATAGAAAACAGACACACGGAATGGTCTCCTGTGAGTGCCTTAAGCTAGCCCTTGGGCTGCCACCCACTTGCTTGACACGTTCTTAGAAGACATTCCAGGGGTGGGTAAAGGGAGAGATAATCATCTTTAAGTAGTGCATGTAGGAGGAAAAAAAACACCACACAGAAGACCAATACACTCCTGAACGTCTCTCCCTATATAAGAGAGAGAAAAATGTAGTGCCTTGTTAAGAAATAGCACGGAAGGGGAAAGTTTTCCAGGTGAGACAATTTATTTCTATCATGATTTCTTTAGCACACGTAACAAGAAAGGCATTTATCTGTGACAAAGAAAACTGTAGACATCTTGTCTCTATTAATTCAACTACAGACACATCTTACAGTCTGAATACATACGATACCGGCACATTAAGAAACCCCACATGTGCCTAAAAAGCATATCCTGCTCTCCTCCTCCCCTCCCTCCCTCCCCCATTCCGGTTTTTGCCTCCACAGTAGCCTGTGACACCAGTCCTCGGAATTCTATTATGCTGCTTCTGTTGGGATGATGGAATGTGACGTAGTTAATACTAATGCCCAGCTTACATCCAGAAATGAGGATTAGCATGTGCAGCAGAGGATTTTTAGTCATCTAGCAACTGCTTCAGCATAGTCACAACAGCAAACCAGGGTGTGATGTAGTTGGCTCTCTATTCAGTTGCCCACTCAGTGCTGTGTGTATGTCGTAAATATATTCATACAGGCTAATTGTATGCGTTTTTTTAAAAAAAAACCTTTAGCAGCCTTTGATGATGCAGTGGAAGAACGCGTGATCAATGAAGAATATAAAATATGGAAAAAGAATACTCCCTTCTTATATGATTTGGTAATGACCCATGCTCTGGAATGGCCGAGCTTGACTGCTCAGTGGCTTCCTGATGTAACAAGGTAAACTGATCCTTTTGCTTTTTTTCCTAAAAGCAGAATAAATAGTAAATCTGGGATCACTTTTTGTTGAAGTAAGGCAGTGTGTGATTCCTTTCTGTCTTAAATCACTTTTTGTTACCCTTTCCTTGCCAGCAGCAAGTTGAGGACTATGAACACTAGAGAGATAACACAGACATTTTTAATTTGGGAAAATGACTTCTATTACTGAGAAGATATTTTCACACACTTGATTTCCATGGTTTTTTTTTCTTCCAGCTTTCCCTTCCTCTTTAGTAAGCAAAAAAACTCCTCAAAAATAGAACTAGATACAATTTCTGTATAGCCACCATTTTGTCCTAAGCTTCCATAACAATGTTCTGCTTGCAGTAAATGTTTATGCCCCTCAGATTTGTACTCAGGAGGAGCTGCTGAGGTCCCTTAAAGGAAGGCACAGGAACGGTGGCCTGTCAGAGTGTTGTGCTGTGAGAATTTTAGGTTGAGATCTTGAGTAGTGATAAGAGATTTCCTCTGGAGGAAGCGAGTTTGCTGTTGGAGCAGGAGAACAACGATAACTTTAAAGAGTGTTATTAGTGTTAGAAGCTGACATCAAGAAATGTAGTCAGCTCAGTATTTGTGTAAAACCCCTTTTGTTTCTCTTGTAACTCTCTTCCCTTGCAGGCCTGAAGGCAAAGATTTCAGTATTCACCGGTTAGTCTTGGGGACCCATACTTCAGATGAACAAAATCATCTTGTGATAGCTAGCGTGCAGTTGCCTAATGATGATGCACAATTTGATGCTTCACACTATGATAGTGAGAAAGGAGGTAAGGGACCAAAATTGTGGATCGGGGGGGACTTTTAACTGTGTTTAACTTCCCTTCTCAAAAGAATATTTGTCTTTCCTTAACCTTCAGGCAGGAAAATTCAGATATTGCTTCTAAACGAATCAATTTGTTTCCAAGTGGTGCCCTTAATAAACAAATGGCATGTTTTTTGAATTGTGTGTAATGTCTTAATAATATGAAAAAAGAAGCTGGCAGGCTTGTTGCAAAAGTATGTGTGTAGGGGGCAAACCTCACCCCTCCCTATTTCTCATCAGGAGTTGACACTGAATGTCATGGAATACTGCTTATTGGTATTTTTATTATCATTTTTGCCTTATATAAACTCTTCCAGTGAGAAAGTCATTCATGTAAAACAATATTTTATTTCAGAGGAGTGTAACATTTCAAATGTTCTTCTCTTGTCTGAATTGTGCTGCCTGATAGTTGTGCCAGCCCCTCTTGGATAAAAAGATTATTGTGTTTTGTTCAGTACATCAGTCTTGGATTCGATGCTTTCTGTAATCTTAGTTGGCTGTCAGCGTTGCTGCAAGTTAGACATTTCTTTTTTACTTGGTTCAATCAATCTTTCTACCTGGTAAAAGTCCTTAATGATCCAGTGTTTGCTCTTTTTGCTAGAAGCCTACATTGTGCAATTAGAAGCCCAAAGATCAGAATACTGAGAGTTATTAATGAACACACTGTTGGCTAATAAATACTTTGATTCTATTCTAACATTTCTCAAAAATCTACTACTCCAATTTAAAACCACAGAAAACCCCTGTTTTTGGCAGAGTGGTGCTGTGGAATTTTGTGAAATACTGGGTTACTGTGACGTTACTTACAAAGGTGAGGTAACTTTAGCAAGTTATATTACAGTCCTGTATCTTAAACACGGTGCAGCACTTGGTTTTCACCAGAACTTTGTCTATTCTGCAATGCTGATTTTTGTTACATTTGAAAATGCAGTTACAGCACAACTGTTTCAAATGTACAACACGTTTTCGTTACAGATAAGAGTTTTAGATATAAATTTGGGGCTTGTGTTGTTGAATTTGAAATAGTGAAAATTTTTTTGGGAGAAATGGTCTTTACTTAGCCAAAGCCCTGGTATTTTGGTGTTACAAATACAGATGTTTAAAACAACATGCCATTTGAAAACTGGATTCTTTCAGTTACAGTTGTTCTTGTGACTATCTTTCAAAAGAAGTGCTTGGCAGTACCAGTCATTGACTCTGGATCTTTGTGTCTCGGTCTGAAACTCGCTTCCTATTATTATTCCAGAGTTTGGAGGCTTTGGGTCAGTTAGTGGAAAAATTGAAATTGAAATCAAGATAAATCACGAGGGAGAAGTGAACAGAGCACGTTACATGCCACAGAACCCATGTATCATCGCTACGAAGACTCCATCCAGTGATGTCCTTGTCTTTGATTACACCAAACACCCTTCTAAACCAGGTGTCTGCTTCTTTGTCATGTCTGTGCCTCAGAGATCAGCCGGCCCTTCCTTAAGAGAAGGTTGATGTAGTGAAAAAGAGGTTAAAAAGCTTTGTGGGTTGCATCTCATATGTGATTTTAGGTGAAAGTAGGTATTTAGCGTAGAAGGGTATTTTAGATGAAGCTTAAACATATGTATCAGTAGAAAGAAAGGTGTAGGGGTTTTTTCTTGTGCTGTTTTACTGCATGTTTTGTCACGTCAGTGTATGTGTTGGTATTTGGGGTGGTGGAAGGTGGCATTTTGGAGACTGTAGGATTTGCTGGGTAGCTGAGCTGTTGTCCTGATATCCTGTGAGGATGTTAACAGTCATTTACTGATGAACTCATCCAGATTAAGTGACTAGTCCTGCCACTAGTGGGGGGATCAGAAGTGCCTTTCTCACTTTCAAAGTACAGTTGGAGATGATGAGAGGGAGAAAAAAAAAAATTACACCAGCAAAGTGTTTAGGAAGAGGTTTTTTGAACAGTAACTGAGATGATTCCTCCAGCCAGCCAGACCAGGTGCCTCATGCCAAAGCGTGGGGGTGACTATTGGGCTGCTTTGACTCTTCAGCAGGTACTGTAGCACTGATTTAGAATGGACCACTGCTAGGCCATCCAGCTGGAAAGAAAAAAAAAAAAGGCAGCTCAAAAATCTGCAATGTTGTTTTACTAAGCTGAGATGACAAACTGCTCTGTGTTGTCTCAGTGCATTCTGTTTTAATGAGGTGATTCTTCAGTTGGGGAAAACGCTCAAAAGGATAGGGAGAGGTCCTGCTGAAAACGTCAAAGCAGAGTTTAGTAAAGCCCGGTAAAACATAATGGCAGGTATTCCAGGATGTGCTGGAAATGGTACTAGGCACTGGAGTTCTTACACCCCCTCTTTACAGACCCTTCTGGAGAGTGTAACCCTGATCTGCGTCTTCGTGGGCACCAGAAGGAAGGTTATGGGCTGTCATGGAACCCAAACCTGAGTGGGCATTTGCTTAGTGCTTCTGATGATCATGTGAGTACTTCAAATATAGCTGGGGTACAATCTGTACTTTGTATCCCTTGGCAAAGGTCAAAAATCTTTTTTTTTTTTTTGCGAGGGGGGAGGTAAAGCGAATGTCTGTTTAAAGATGCAACTTTTAAAAAATTTTTCTTTTTTTTTAAAGACCATTTGCTTGTGGGATATTAGTGCTGTACCAAAAGAAGGCAAAGTGGTGGATGCAAAGACCATCTTCACAGGGCATACAGCAGTAGTGGAAGATGTATCTTGGCATCTGCTCCATGAATCTCTTTTTGGATCTGTTGCTGATGATCAGAAGCTCATGATGTAAGTGGGGCAGTGTCTTCAGAAATGGGATGCTTCTGTCCCTCTTGCTTTCCCATCTGGTCCTTAGTCCCTCAGTAAAATGGGAGATAAACCTTTTGTCTCAAGTCTATGTTTTCCCCTTGCAGTTGGGATACTCGGTCAAACAACACCTCCAAACCTAGTCATTCAGTGGATGCTCACACAGCTGAAGTCAACTGCCTCTCTTTCAATCCCTATAGTGAGTTTATTCTGGCTACAGGATCAGCTGACAAGGTCTGTCTACCTTGAACATACTTGTTCAGTTTCTGATGTTTAAATGTGGATGTATGTATTTGTTACTTCAACAAAAATATTTTTATCTTTTTTCCCTAGACTGTTGCTCTATGGGACTTGAGGAACTTAAAACTGAAGTTGCACTCCTTCGAGTCACATAAAGATGAAATATTTCAGGTATAACAAAACGTCTTTTATGTGCATAGACTTAGTTCTGCTTAGCTGTTTGGAAAAAAATGGAAAACATTCTTTTCCGCTCTACTTTTTTATTAAATGTACTTGCGCTTAAAAACTCGATATATTCTTTTCTCTCATCTGCTTATAATTTTCTGGCTTATTGTTGTGGAGCTGTATAGCACTGTGTGGGGTAGAGCTCCGGTTCAGATAAGAATGTCCAGAAAGCCAGGGGCAGAACATAACAAGGAAATGGTTGAGCGCTTTAGCCACAACAGGAGGGTGAAATGCTAGCAGTACAGAGTCAATGTAAATTATTCATGCAGCAGATTGAAGCAGGGAGGCACAATGAAATGGCTGCAGTGTTTTTTATCTTCTCAGCTTGGTCCTGTAGGAAGGCTTTAGCCAGTACCTGTTAGAGGGGATCACTGGAGCAGCCTGTAACAACGAAAAATTGCTAATTTTGGGGGTGTAAATATAGAATGTTAACGTCACAGGTAGCATGTGCTTATCAGATACAATATTTCCAACTCATTCCTTAGAAGAAAAACAGGTAGAGAATTTTTTGTGGAGGGATTACGAGTTAAGACAGTGGTTACCTCTAAATAAAATTGCACACGGAATCTTGAAACCTCAGGTTAGTGGGCAGAATTAAACGTTCTTTTCTAATCCTGTGATCCTATTAAGTGGTATGTTTTGGAGAGATTTATCTCCAGTGGAAGCAGTAAATGTGAGCTTTCAGGCAGAGAAGCTTAATTACAGTGATTTCTTTTCCATGGGTAAACTGTGCCTACTGCTTACGGAATCCGTAGTTTGTATTTGTGCAATCCTTATTAAGATAAGGAGTAGCTAATATCCTTGAGAGCTGTTTGCACTTCGTAACACATGGCCTTTGTTAGAGGAGAGGTTACACGTGGTACCTTTTGGGTGCTCAGATGCCTTCTTAGTGTTACGGATGTTCACAGACCCACCTCCCGTGTTAGGGTGTTATTATTGGGCATATCCATATTTTAAGCGAATACCAATTTGAATTCTCAGAGTTTTCGTGATACAAAATGCGGTGGTGTTTGTTGTGAATGTCATGTTACAGCTTAAAACTAACATCCTTTCTGAATTCCTTGTCTGTAGGTTCAGTGGTCTCCCCATAATGAAACTATATTGGCCTCCAGTGGCACTGACCGCAGGCTAAATGTTTGGGACTTGAGGTAAACCTCAAATTAGTCACGTTGTCCTGACAAAATACTATTGATGAATTGCATCACACTTTAAAAAAACCCAAGCAAACCGACCTCCCACCTCTTCACTTTTCCCCCCTTTTCTTTTTACAGTAAAATTGGAGAAGAACAATCCCCCGAAGATGCTGAGGATGGTCCCCCAGAACTGCTGGTAAGTCTTTTGAGTCTCGTTGATGGTTTTGACTTAATCATTCATCTCTGTGATGTAGACTTGAACACATTCCCCTTTTTGTTTCCCCAACACTAGTTTATTCATGGTGGTCATACTGCAAAGATATCTGATTTCTCCTGGAATCCCAATGAACCCTGGGTAATTTGTTCTGTATCAGAAGATAATATCATGCAAGTCTGGCAAATGGTAAGTTGTTTGGGAAGGTGCAGGACGTGGCAGATGAGAGATGGTGCTGAACTGCCTGGATTTCAGCGTTCCTGGTTTTATTTACAGCTCTTGGAATTACTTTGTTAGCACTGCTTACATCTCAACGGGATAATGAAATCCACTTTAGGTTTGGTCGAAACAATAGCTTACAAATACTCAGAAGCTGGTTTGTGTTTCTCATGATTTTTTTTTAAAAAAAAAGGGAAGTACTGGTGTAGAAGCAAATTTTTCCCTTCTGTGTTTGAATGAAAACAATGTGTCTGAGAACCAAAGATGAAATTGAGGTTTCTGTTAGTTATTGTCTTAAAGAATTAAATCTTTGCAAAGGATATAAATGTCCTCCTGAGGATGGAGGGGGGGGGTGGTGAATAGGAAAAGTCTGCTGGCCCTAAATTACCAGCTGTTGAAGGTTTTGGAAGACAATCTGGTATTGTTTGAATAACCTTTGACAAGACCATACTCTTCATTTTTGTTTATGGATAAATTGGCTCACAGGGGCTTTGTTCTTAGCAGCCTTCCCTGTAGTTCTTTTGAAAGATGCTGCAAGGTAGAGGCTCCACTAAATGTATGCAAAATAGTCTGTTAATTACAGTAAGTCTTGCGGTGGTCTCTAACAAGGCAGGTTTCCATAAGCTGCAGTACCTTACAGGGTACTTCAGAAATGTTTTGGAGACCTGGCTGTTAGGAAAAAGGTTGTTTGCGTTTCTTCTTCCATGTTAAATGGCCTTGAGGGATCAGGGGTGGGCGATGCACATCTGCAGATAAAAAAACTGCCAGAACTTTCTGAAGCGTTCTGGCAGGTGAAATCCTGCTCAGCGTGGTGGTGAATGCTTCTTCACTTCCTCCACCTCTCTCCTGCAGGCGGAGAACATATATAATGATGAAGACCCTGAGGGAAGTGTGGATCCAGAAGGTCAAGGATCCTAGATGACAACCTTTTCCTGTTTTTAGTCTTTTTCCTTCTCTTTCCTCTAAACCCTGATATTGACTTAACACTGGTTTTGAGACACACGTAGACTTTGTGTTCAGCCATCCTTCTGTAGATACCATCAACAGGCTTTTTAACCCAGACAGTGAGTACTCCCTAAGGAAAGGGCTTAGCCCAGCTCAGATGGTACCGTGCCGTAGCTCCTCGCCCAGATTTCCTACAGCAACCTCTCGGTGTAGGGCTGGCTGTCCCATTTTAGCTGCCTTCATCGCGCAGAGCAAACTTACGGTTTGTGTTGGTTTTTTTTTTTTTTTTTTTTCTTTAGCTTGCTACAGCTGCGGGCTTTTGCCTAATTTAAACAAAAGTTAAGTTAAATTGGTAGAGCTACCAGAGTGTGCTTGAACCAGTGGAGAAGGTACAAGTGTTAATCCACTGGCGGTTCAGAAATGGAGCGTGGAAGGTCTTGTCCTCTTCAGTACAACTCAGAAGTCTTGGGATTCCTTTAGTTAATCTGTACCTTGTGGTTTTTTCTGCTTCTGCAGATACAAAACAGACTTTCAGATTCTGACTTGAACTGAAACTGGGTTTCTTCCTCTAGGTTTTTTTTTTGTCTCTACTGGTAATTCTGGGTTTTTCATTCCTTCCTTCCTTTCCCTTTTCTCCCGTTTGCTGGGTGACAGCAGTTTGGATTCGTTAGCTATTCCTGCAGAGCATTGTTCACCTTCCATGTATTTTGCTCTATTGTGTGTTTCTTGAGCTGTGTTTTCACATATATTTCTTTCCTTTCTGTGAAATGGTTTTTAAAACTTGGGGCCACCAAGTTGTAAAGGTGTATGTTTTTACCAACTGATGTACCACAGATGGCATGCCCAGTAACCCAAAACAGCATTGGTAGCTGGTATCTGTAAAGCAATTTAAATGTGGATGAACTACTTTTTTTAGGAGTTAGTCCTTGACCACTAGTTCCTGCACATCTTCCACTAGGGTGTCCTGTTCCACCAGCAACCTGTTACTCTCCATGCTCCTCATGACTAATTGCGTGTAAGTGCTTCAGATGGAATAAATTTTTTCTACGTAAACGCCGTGTAACTTTGTGAGTTCTGTACCGATGTTCTCCTTCTGCATTAACTGCTTTCTGGAGAGTAAACTGTATCTTTTCAGAAAGCAGAGAAAAGAATTCTCTACCCGTGTGTCCTATGAGACTTAAGTGCTGTTATAGATACTCCTTAGTTTGTAACATGTGGGTGATTCTCCCCCTTTTGTTTCTGCTGCTTTTTGTGAAATGAGTACTTGATATCCCCGAGCAGTCAATGCACTGAAATGTGCCAGGTTTTAAGTCTGCCTTGAGCCCTTGCCACAGAACTTTTTTATTTTTTTTATTAGTCTGCAGCATAGATAGTTTGATACAAGTACTTCAGTTTGACGCACAGGCTTGTTCTTTTCTCTTTGAGACACAGCTTTGAGAATTAAAAGGATCCTTCAACTCTGACCTTTATTTTCAGTGTGAGACTTTATATAAAGTGGAAACCTATTATCCACAAACTAGTTCCTGTGGCCCACGGTGGAGCATAGACTCATTGAGGCTGGAAGGGACCTTTAAGCATGTTGCAATACAGCAGAGACCCTTGAAATACAAAAGAAAATCCTGTTAAAAGGATGAAGCTTCTCTTGCATGTAAACTTTAAAAATCAACCCCCCTAACCCTGGCTTCCAGAACAACTTTCTGTGCAGGCTTATCCAACCCACCTATGGACCAAGACGAGATACATTTTTATCCAAACACAGCAAAACATACATCTGTTATTCTTCATGTGTCCATGGTTCAGTGCAAGTATTATTTTCTCTGCTCCTCTGTGGAAAAGCAGTTTTGCTACATGGTTAACAGCAGCACCTTGAGAAATACACCCAGGCAAAGGATTGTCTGGTATTCCCAGCTTCAGGCAGCTGCGGTGCCTCGGGCAGGATAAGCAACAGGAGGAGACGTCCCTGGCAGATGCCTCTGTCCTTTTGTTTTTGCTACAGTGAGGAAAAGTCCATCGGTCCTAGCAGTCCTGCTCTGCTTTTTCATCCGATTTGCAAAGGTGGCCGTAGATTTCTAAGCAACTCCTGTATGGGTAGAAAGTAAGTTTAGGCTACTGAATATTTACATGAAGTACTCTGGCTGGAGAAAAGGGGGAAGGGGGACATTTCTGCTATTTCTGAAAAACATTCTTTTCTATTTCTGAAAAACATTCTTTTCACAGTATGGAAGAAAAGCGATTAGGAAACAAACTGGCTCACAACCTGGTCTTGTGAGCGTGCGGACCTAGCCCAGCCCTTGCGAACCCTTGGCAAACGCTAGCTATAACGGAAGGGAATGTCATTTTTGGTGTGAGCGACGGGAGACAGCAGCTCAGAGCTGAGCTTAACTCTGAGGTCCCCGGTGCAAACATGAAATTTAATGAGGTGTCCTGGCACACGAGAAGCCTCGCACGCTATCGCTTCCAGGGAGGGCAAGCTGTAGATTGCCTGGAGTTAAGACTGTGCTGCTGCACTCAGGCTTAAATCTTGCTCTGTGATTTAGACCTGTGATTTAGGACGCCAAGCAGCGAAGATGGGAGGGTTGCTTGGATCTGGTCTGAAAATTGTAAATGTGGTTTCTTGTTAATACGTCTTGGAATGGTTGGTGACGTGACAGGCTGAAATGGAGATCTCTTCCCCCTGTGCTTACCGTGCTAAAGTCTCACCTGGATAAAAGAAAACTTACTTATGGTAGGGCATAGCCTCCTGTGGGGCACTTGCATGAGGAGGTATGCGTGGAGAAGGGGGGGAAAAAAAGAATACTAAAGTAACAGTGAAGCTACAGAAAATGGTTAAAAGTGTGTACAGCTGAGATTGGAGTGGAGTTTAATGCAAAGGTTGGTGAGTAAAAGTTCCCCAGCTTAAGGACGTTCTCTGGAGCTTTAAAAAATCTTTTGTCACAAGACCCGAGCGAAACCAGCAGCAGTGGTAAGCAGAGGATAGTTCTCACTCACTGAGAGCATCCACAGTGGTGCTTCCCAAACCTAAACCTCGCTTTCCACACGCTCCTAAGGAAACCAGCACTTTGGTTTAAGTTGCCATGCCTGCTTCTTGCAAAGCAACCTCCGCTCCTCGTGTACGGGATTTGCCACCAAATTTGGCAAAAGATCTGGAGCTCCTGCTGTGCTGCCCCGCCAAACCCCTTGCTCACACGCCGGCCATGAGCCCAGGGACCAGGAGCCTTCCTCCTCCACCATCCTTCTCCTCCCAGCCCCTCCCCACCGCAGAGACGAGACACAAACGGACTTGTAGATGGAGAGCTCCTGGTGGAGGCTGGTCCTCAGCTCCTCCAGTTCCTGATTCTTGCGCTGCTGGAGCTGGACCCCGTTCTTCAGCTCCTTCAGCCTGTCTTCCAGCTCCTCAACCTGCTCCTGGGGAGTAAGAAGATGAAGAGTGGATTAGCTGGGGGAGGAAGGCTGCCTGTCTCAGTGCCCACGCTTTTATGGGGGATCTGCCTCTTTGGACAAAGCGCAGCCAAGCTGATGGCTGTCTCGCCACTATCTCAAAAAATCTCTGCAAAAAAAGCTTTGTTTTATTACAGAGGTGGGAGCTTGGGCTGGGATGTGATGCTTTGGGTCCTTAGGCTTCTCTCGGCTCGTTGCCTTTATCCCCTAGTCTACTTTGTGTGTGTTTTGACAAGCTGTCAGAACTGTATAAACTATTATGAGTCAGGAGAAGACAAACAAGGATTTGGGGAAAAAGAAAATGTGGAGGCACGTCAGGGATGCCCCAAAGTCCTGTCCTCCAAGGCAGGGCAGACCCTGAAATCCAAGACGAGCAGTGTCACGGCACTGGTGGCCCGGTCCCCAGCTCAGCAGGGAGGAGAAGCGATGGAGGGGGCTGCCAGCTTCCAGAAGCTGCTCAGAGCCAGGCTGGGAGGAGGCAGCAATTACGAGCCGAGAAGAGGGAGTGTTGAAATGGGGGAGATTAATTGCGGAGCCTCTTTGCCAAATGTGCTCTTGTAGATATTGAATTGCCTTGTCCCTCAGGACAAGGTGCCGGCAGGGGATGCCTGGAGCAGCCAGAAATAACCCTCCTGGGAGGCAGCCCAGCCCCTGGGCTGCAGGGACGGGAGGTGAGACCCTTCCTGGCTGTGGGAAGGGCAGGATCTGCCTCTGCTCCTTTTCGTTAAAACTGACTTTTCCAAGCACCTGAGCTCAGCCCCCATGCCGGCACAAACTGCAGGAAACGTGCGGTGCCTGTGCTCAGCAGCATCGCTCAGCTCTGCCGCGGGCCTGCTCTGGGGAGGAAAACCCCCCATCCCTTCTGCCTCATCCCTGCTCGCTGGCGCCGTTTCCAAGGGGTGGATCAAACCCAAGTGACAATATAGTCAGGAGAAAGCTTTCTTCTGGAAGCTCATTCAGGGAAGTTGCAGCACTTTGCTAGCGCATCCCTGTAATCTCGGGTTTGCCCTACGCCCAGGGGCTGCTGTGCCAGGGCAGGGGATGCTTCTGACTTCAATCCTTACCCTCCTCGTCCACCTCACACCCCTTGGCCCTGCGAGCAAGATCTTCAGCATTTACATTTCACCAGCTGCAAAGCCCAACTCCCACTCTCTAAACAAGAGGGTGTGAGAGGTGCCCAGCCCGGGCACGTACCCGGTACTGCCCAACCTCTTCATCCCGCTTCTGCCTGACGAGGACAATCTGCTCCTCCAGGCTCCGGTTCTGCAGCCGCAGCCGGCTGACCTCCCCCTGCAAGGGCCGCAGGGCTTCCTTCATCCCCTGGATCTCTCCCTGCATCTCCTGCAGCGCCTTCACCCCCGCCTCACGTCTCTCCAGCAGCCGCAGCAGTTGGGGCTCGTAGTGCTCCTCCAAACCCCGCCGGCTCTCCGCCACGAAGCTCTCGAACTCCATGGAGAGCCGACGGCTCTCCTGCAGGTACAGGTTATCCTGACGACACAGTGGAGTCTCCAAGCGTTGCCTCAAGACCTCCTTCTCTTTCTCGCAGGTCTCCTTCAGCCGGGACAGTTCGCCGGAGAGCTGCCCAGCCTGGGTCTCCAGCTCGCCCTGGTAAGCAGCGTGCTGGGAGAGGTCGTGCCGCCGGCTCTCCAGCTGGTACTGGCAAGCCACGCACTCCTTCGTCACCTTGAACAGCTTCTGCTTGATCTGCCGGATCTCATCCTTCAGGTTGTCCCTCTCCAGCTCCACCTTGGCCAGCAGCCGGCAGGCCGCCTGGATCTCCTCGTGGGCATGGCGGATCTCCTGCAGCGCCGGCTCCCGGAGCTGGGCGAGCTCCGCGATCAGGCTGTCTCTCTCTTGCTCCAGCTGCTCGACAGCTTCGATGCACTCTTGGAAGTAGTCACCCAGCTCTTCGAGGGTCAGGCACTGACGCTCCGGGTCATCCGCGTCCAGGGGGCTGCCTGCCCCCTCCGCGTCCATGTCCAGTGGGATTCCTGCCCCATCTGTGTCCATGTACAGTGGGATCCCTATTCCCTCTGCATCCAGGTCCAGCGGGATCCCTGCCCCATCCACATCCAGTGGGAACCCTACTCCGTCTGCATCCACGTCCAGCGGGATCCTTGCCCCATCCACATCCAGCGGGATCTCTACTCCATCTGCATCCTCGTCCAGTGGGATCCCTGTCCCACCTTCATCCACGTCCAGCGGGATTCCTGCCACGTCCACATCCAGTGGGATCCCAGCCCCGGCCACATCCTCATCCAGCTGAAGCCCTGGCATGTTTAACTCCAAGGAAGCATCCCTGCTGTCTGGCTGCGGCTCCCGGCAGGCGTCTGGGCTGCCCCCGTGCAGGGGTGTCACCCCCACACCCTCTGCTGGGTCTAACAGGCTGCGTGGAAGGTCCGGGTGCGGAGCAGCACCCGCAGCCGCTCCCTGCGGGGCTGAGGATGCTCCGGCTTCATCCTCCTGCAGCTCCGGAGGGGGCTCGGGCTCTGCCATCAGGTCCCTGGAAAGGAGAGGAGACATGAACCAGAGCAATGAGTGTAACCGGTCTCAGCCCTTCCCCTCTGCCCCGCGGGAGGCGGGTGCCCCGCAGCAGGCGGAGCTGGGGGTGCTCTCGCTGCGGCCCTGCTGCTGTGACTGTCCCCGTGTCACCCTCCGGCTCTGCAAACTGGGCAGGGCTGCGCTTGTGCTCTGATGACGACTGGGACTCAAACTGCCAGCTTCTGCCAAAACAAGGGAAGAAAACCCTCTTACAGTGACTGACTGCCACGGAGAAAGAACGAGGGATACAAACCTGGCCCCCAAACCCGAGAGCTACCCCAGTGCTGACAGGAGCTGCCACCGTGCTGCGGCCGGTCTCCCCCGGCAGCACTGGTGTGACTGGTGTGGGCACTCCCAGCCAAACTTGCTGGGATTTTAGCAGTGTGCCATAACCTCAGAGCAAGGGAACGTGCTGCTGAAGCGCAGGCAGGCTCCGAGATGGCTGAGATGGAGGAAAAGCACCACACGTACAGTGCCCGAGCGAGCGGCAGCTCCTGCAGCCGGAGCCGGGCGAGCTCCGCTCTGCAGAGTCATCCGCTCCCGTCACTATCCCCAGCGCCGGTTCCTCCAGCCGCCGCCACCGAACACTCGCGTCTCACATTTTTACCCCGGGTGCTGTTTAGGGGAGGATGGAGACGACACCCCTCGGGGACGAGCCGGGCTTTTTCCTGCCGCTTCCAGGAGCCGGGGCCGGTGGCTTGGGTGGGAGGATGCTCTCACCTCCCGGCCACGCCGCTGAGCTCATGTCTAGTCATCCCCCGAGGAATGAGGCAGGCTGGCACTCGCGGGCAGCCCTCGGCTCGCAGCAACGGCTTTAAGGAAAGAACTGATTTTCACTGATACTTTCTCTCCTAATAAGGTAGTTTTCGGCAGCGATGACACATCACAGCCTCGGACTCAACGGCCGGAGAAGGGGCAGCGCCTGGAAAGGTGGGGAAAGGGCCCCGTTTCTTTTTTTCTTGCCCTCCGCCGGTGCCAGCGCTTCTCTCTTA